GTTCTGTTCGGCCTCAGCCAAAAAGGGTTTAATATTCCCCCTTCCACACACACACACACACACATGCTCCCAGGCCATGCAAACAATCCCAGTGTGTGTGAGGAGCGAGCTAGACCCCGGCCCTGAAAACTCCACATCCACTGCAGCTGTGGGCCGGCCAACAGCTGACGCTGGGTCTCTGCTCGGTTTCTGTCTCCCTCCCCACCAACCCTGCCCCCTCTTCTTCTGTGTTTCCATGAAACAGACCTGTAATTTTCACAGCTGTGTCTCGGGCATTTTGCCAGGGTGAGTCAGGGGAAGAAGAGAGAGTGGGAGACAGGGAGAGAGGGAGAGGGGGAGAGCGGGAGAGCGGGAGAGGGCCTGGCTAATGGCTTTAGGAGGAGCACAGGCTACAGTATGGCTTTGGAGACTCTGAAGATTTAAACCAAAGAAATATTAAAGCAACTGAAAAGCAGAGGAATTAACTGAGAAAATCAGAAGCATTATTCAATGTATATTTCTGTAGATGATATGTTAGTCACAAAGCATAATTCAGGTTTAGTCTTGTTTTAAATTATCGCGTTATATCTATTTGGATAGGAAAACATTGTCGTAATGCAAAATCACTGCTGAAATCTGGAAGCACTTTGCCACAACAACTCAGAGGCAGGAGGTAATGAGGGCAACAGTTGATCTAAACGGTGTTATTCAGAGGTAAAACTGAAAAAGAGTGCGTCGAAATTACGGTTATAATCTGAAATAGCAGGAAATGTTTTTGCACGCACAACAAAGTAAGAACAGTTGGTCAAAGTTTACTCAGGAAGTCGGTCTATAAACTGTGAAGCATGTTTTTAATGGACAGTTTGGGTCATCCAACTGGTGTTTGGGGGAGGGGGGTTGTTTAGTCTGATCGTTGGCATTTTCTTTTCTTTTTAGAAACGATGCCAAATTCCCACATTTCAGACAAAACCAGAATACAGGGAATATCGGACATATATGACGCTGTTCCAGATCTTTGCGCAATTTGGTGTGAAAGCACTGGGGTTCGAATGGTTTGGGGTCAATTTCATGAATATGTGTATTTAGAAATGTATTATTATTACAAAAATAAAACCTAGTCATAAGAAATTCAAGGGCATACAGTATGCTTGGTCTCAAAGGTGAGCTGAACTCTATGAAGCAAAATATAAAGAAAAGGGTATATTTAAGGAGAAAAAGAACTCTGAATTCAAACAATACAATTTCAAGGTGAAGAGCTTTTTTTAGCCCTTGGTAGTGTCTGTAGGTCTCCTTTTTAGGCTGCTTGAACCTCCTGCATGGAGCCAGAGGTATTATTATTTCAGTGTTGTGCTTGTACACTGAATATCTCTACATGAATGTGGGGCCCAGAAGTCCGCTTGTTGCCTCGGGGCCCCTTAGCAGGTTAATCCGGCAATGATTTTAGCCAATAGCTTGGGGAGTGCAATGTTAATTTACCAAAAGGAATGATAGCCATAATTAGAAAAGTAAGACCCATTTTGTAATAAACATGAGTTCTCCCTAAAAATGACTAAAACAGAGACCCAACATCTAGGCACACTCTTCAACCACATCTTTTCATCATGCGTTGACTTATCTTTATAAGGTTAATACCATCGGCTTAGACATTTTAGATTATCTGCATATAAAATAACCAAATGTCCAAATGATTTACAGCCCAGCAGTGGGAGGCTTAGGGTAGTATTCAGATTTTACATCTGAGTAAAAGTAGTTATACCAGGAAAAATACAGTAAAAGCCATGCATTCGAAATGTTCTGATGGGTCGTAATCTATGAAATGACATCATCATTTAATAGTTGAATAGGTATCCAAGCAATCTAAGTAACTAGAGCTGGAAAATCTGGGTATTGGGTTAAAAGTACAATATTTTCTTCAGAGACATTAAAAGGTAAAGAAGTAAGTAAAGTACAAGTTCTTAAAAATCGTACTTGAGTACAATAACTGAGTAAATGTACTTAGTTACTTTCCCCACTGCAGATGCCACATGGAAATGCAAGTCTAATCTAAGGACAAACAGCTGAAGCTGCTGACAAATAGAGGAAGTATCAGCCATGTAAGTAAGTTAAAAAGTTACTTTAGTTTTAAAAAAACACATGCAAGTTAGCTTGTACTTGATGCCATCCTAAAGGACCCAATGAACTGAGTTCCTGTTAGATAATATTTAACGTCCCTGTGTGGAGCACACCAGTGTGGCCATGACAGGTGTTTTGGAAAAAGGGATGTGCGTGTGTTAGTGTACTTTTCCAACGCAACCTCATGAACAATAAAGGCATTCATACTGGGTGGAATGATGTTTTCACTTCCTAAAATAGATTTCAATGGATTTGCTTTACACAGTGAACCACACAACAACATGAAGAACGAGAATATGTTAACAAATAGATGCTAATGCTTATATTATCAATTATAGTCTTCTGAACACATGTGGCCTGTATCTGAGCAGGAAGTATTTGTCTTCTTTTGGACAGCAAGGAGGACACGTTTGGGTGACAGGAGGCATGCTCTGCTCCTCCTCCTCCTCATACTCCTACTCCTACTCCTCCTCACAACAGGACACTTCATCAGAAATAATTGGATTATGTCCAGGATTGATATCCAGCTTTATGGTTCACGTCTTGGCTGCACCTCTATTCAACAAGCTGCTATGACATGCCTGTCAAAGTAGGCTGCGGAGAACTGACGAGACAAAATCTACCACAAGCTCCAGCACTGAAGCTCCATTGTCAGGCTTCTCTGTCCACACGAGGCTTTACAAACACAATTACACTGAAGAACTCACCAGGCAGCTTGTACACTGTGATCTATAACCCTGATGTCATGTCACAGCATGTACTCCCAACTGCCTCTTACAGCGGGAGGTGATGGGCTCTCCACAAGCTGGATGTTTTTTCTTCTTCATCCAAACAGTGCTAAGGCAAACTCACACAACTTATTTTTCATTAGAGAGTAATCCCCTCATTATTTTCTTGATTAAATACTAAATTATGAAAAGCTATAGAATGTCAGAGGAAGTAAAAAGAAGAAGGCAATAACATGTCCCTGGAGTACAAGCTAAAGTCTTCAAATAGCTTGTTTTGTCCATCCAACTGTGGTGGAAGAAGTATTTAGACTATTTTCCTGAGTAAAAGTACGAACACCATAGGGAAAATACTCCTTTATAAGTACTGAAGAGCATGCAGCTAAATCTTGTAGGGAGGGGGGAAAGGAACTGGAGAACACTGATTGATTTATAGATTAATATTTGAACAGTACTGTGTCTTCATCAGAGTCAAAACAGACCAAGATAAAGGAAAATATAAGTATATAGTACATGTGTAAGAGTATCATTGGATAACTGCTGAGGTAATAGATCAGAGCTTCAGTCAACTACTAATTGACTGAATTTGAAACATCTTGAATCTTTATTCACTTTCTAGACTTACACTTTACAAAAAGGAATGACAGCACTGTTGGAACAATCTATTACAAATCCTTACGAAGAAACAATCATTTATTAGCGGAGAGTAATTCCCCCAAAACCACCTCATCTTTTCTATCCAATTACTAACTCTTGATACGTCTAAAGTAGTTGAAAAGAATGAGCGTTTCCAGGGCTTACTTCCTAGTCATTTTTTCCTCTGGCCAGCCGGGTCGAAAAATGTAACGTCCTAAAAAAAACATCCATCTTTGCATAAAATGAGCTTGACGGCTCCTTCAAACACATACCCACAATCTGAGAGACGAAAAGGTTCATTTAGACACAATTTAAAAAAAACAAAATAAACAATTTACTGGTTGTCAACTCACAGGCTCTTTTCCACTGTGGTCACGGCGTTGAATACTTCACACAAACATCATAAACTGTGTCATAACCTGCAACAGCTCGTATGTAGAGTACATGCTCACATGACTTCAGGAAATGCATTACACTTTTTGGATGCAGTGTCTGTAGTTTTGTAACTTTTAGACATTTCTGTGTTGTTTTGTTTCTGATGAAATTATGTGGCATGTGTGGACCTGGGACCCAAATGATAATTGTTCACCTGTTCTATATCTTCTCAAAAAGTCACAGTATGGTCAAATCGCCTGTTTTCACTACTAAAGGCTGTAAATCAAACAGTTTGCTCCAGTTTCTTATGTTTCCTTTAATACGAGTTTATTACAATACTTTGTTATATCATTGCAATATTAATAAGATGGCATCCATTGACATAATATGGAGCATTTTAATGTTGTACCGTTGACGAGAAGCTCATTTAACCTATATGCTGTACTTTTCGGTGTTAATTATGTGTAATAGGCTACATTTAATGAACAAACTGTACCTCTGAGAAGTAATGAAGGAGACATATTAAGTAGCATAAAATGTCAGTAAAGTACAAGTATGTCAAAGTTGTACTGAAGTGAAACAATAAATGTATTTATAGTCCAAATATATCGAGAGTATTATGATAGTTAAGCAAACAAAATCCACATGAGTGGACCTGGCAGCAGTGGATTTTGGGTATTTATGACGCTTCAGTTTACTAATTGATTAATCGGCTCGTCATTCAGCTATAGATCCAGAAGAAACAAACAGTAGAATACCACAAGGACCTTTACATGTCTCCAGTATGGTTTCCTGTGTTATAAGCAGGCTGTTAAAACATATTCCATCTCCATAAACAACCTCAAATGTGACAGGAAACCCAAAAAACACAAACTCCACAGACAGCAGAGTGAAGCCTCAAACTCCAACAGAAGCTGCTCGAGTGACATTTTCAGCAATCACGAGCTGAACAAGTCTCAACCGAGGCGCGTCTCACCATTAAGGCGATAAAAGACAACTAAAGTAAAGCAAAAAGTCACAGATCTGCAAAACTTTCCACTCAGATCACTACCGAAACTGAAGGATCTGTTCATCTGTCTATCGCTGACACATCGCTCCAGCACGGAGCTCGATCCTGTCCTGCCTGACACTTTCCGTTTGGCCCGAGAAGCGATAAGAGTTGTTGTGTCTTACCGATTTGATGTCTTGAAAATAACCCGGTTTGAAGAAGCAAGATCACTTCCACAGGGCGAGAGAGAGATGCGTCAGGTGTACGCTTCCCGCGAGTGAAGGAGGAAAACAGAGTGGAAGGCGACTCATGTTGAGTTGATCCGCTGAAGCCTTTTCCTCTTCCTCTCTCCACTCCAAACTGCACTGCCTTGTGCGCTAAGCGTAAAAATCACAAGTCGGTTCACTTCAAACCCAAAATCCTGCTTTAGGAGAATACATGTTGCGTGATAAGCATTCGGCAAGCTCCCTGCAAAACTACGGCTCACTTCAGCGTGTTTTTACATAACAGCATCATCCGCTTTTTTATGTTGACGCATCATGTAGCGAAAACATGGAGTTTCTTAAAGGGCCACGGACGCGCCGTCCACATGTCACCGAGCTCCCGACAGGCAGCAGCCCCGCTGTGGCTGACAGATGGCTTTCACCTCGTTAATGTCTTTAAGCCCTGTTCTTTTGACACTTGTATTAACCCTGGCAGGCAGCACAGAGTGGGGGGGCTCTGAATGAAGGATCGGTGTATGTCTCCACTCATGGCCAGAACCTTCTCTGACATGTGACTGCGCCCCGGAGCTCTGCTGTGGAGGGCTGGCTGTTCTTATGTGACTTTCTGGTTTTATTTCATCAACGAGGTCACTTCATGTTGTGTGACACCTGGGATTTTGTATGGCCCATAAATTAAGATAGTGTATATATCTGCACTATGAGACAAAAGTGCTTAGAGTCACACATTTTCTGTTTTTGCGTTATCTTGATTTACTCTTCACCCTATTTAGCATTTATTGATAGCAGCATGGCTTATAACAAATATGATTAAGCCTTATCCATGTTCTTATATACATCCAGTATTTTTTTTACATGTCTTTCAATAGTATTTTTCAGTTTGTTGTTCAATCATCATTTACAATGATGTGTGATATGTTAATTGATGTTGATTAGCAACGTTATTCCTTGTGTTTATAGGCTATACCTTTATTTCCCATTTCTGATGGTTTTAGATAAACCTTTAGTTGGTTTCTCCCTTACCTGGTCATGTGATTTATTTTCGTATACTTTCTATCTGTCTGAGCTGTTTTTTGTTATTAGCAAGTAAAACATAAAGTGTGGCTGAGTCCAGAAATCGTTCCTAAAATTCAGTTAGTGCTGATTTTCCTTTACATTCCTACAGTTGATTCACCAAAAAAAAGTTAAAATGTATAAACCACTTATGAAGAAGTTTAACTATAGTGTCCATCAGACCTCCATCAATGACTCACTTACATAGTTCCACACTTGATGCTCATTATAAACCTTGACTTGACAATAAGGCACTCACTTTGCGCCTCTCTCCTGAAGGGAGGAGTCCTTCCTGCTTTATAAAGAGCCACACAGCTGAAAAGAAAAATAACACTCCTCTGACAGCAGCTTCCTTTACAAAGATCTGAGTTCACACTGGACGTTTGCATTAGATCACTTATAACTGAGTCATTAAACCGTTTAAGCTCAGAACCTCATACACAGTACATTGGCATGCTTTATTATAAGGTTACATTGTATCTAAAATACATGCTTATTAAAAAGTAACAAGACAAATACCAGGTGGTCTGTTTTTTGTTGGATTTAGGGGTATAACAATCTTATAAAATACTTAAAAAATCAGTTGTCTATAAAGTGAGTGCCACAGATGCACCATCATCTCTGAAGTAAACCATCATCCTTCATCTTGTCATCGTGGGTTTGAAAGGAGAAATTGCCCACCTGCCATCTAAGGACAGGAAACTAGTAGGAATACTTTGATTGATTGTCCTTGTTGCAGGTCTTCAGAAGTGTCGACATTTGGTATTTAGCTTGAGGTGAGTTTCAAAGAGAGTGATAGAAGATAAACATGAGAAAAGGCAGTATGTTTGATAATTGATACATCTCCGTTTTACACGCATAGCTTCGCTGCTTTTGCTTCAACGGCTAACTTGCTGGTTCTCCTCAATCAAGATTTCCACAACCGTTTAACTACAACTCTGGTCACACATTCAAAGCATGCACATTTTTGCTTGAAATCGTTCTCTCTGATTCTTTATACTCTTCATCCATCACATCTCGAAGGTTAATATTTTACTTTTATTTCAATAGATATCCTGATAACTATGGTTGATTGCTTAGTTGGTTTGCAGATTAAGATTTTACATACAAAACATAGTAATACTAATCTAAAATGATATGGAGTTTTACAGATTAAACTAACTAAGAGTTAAATTAATCTATATCCTTTCAAAATGCAACACAAAAGTACTTCTTAAATGTTAATGCATCAGTAATGATCCAATAATATCACAATAAGACTCTCGCAGCATAACCTTTCATACTGCAGCACATTTGACTGTTTAGGTCAATCTGAATGCAACAAGTGTTTTTAATGCCATACTTGCTATACTGCTTTTCAAATGTCGCAATGCTGTTTTTTTTCTGTTTAACTTTAATGTAGTTGTTCATTTATCATGGATTTTAAAGAGGATATTTTAACAGAATACACATTTTAATCAAGTGTTTAAAAAAACATGTAATTCCCTTGCATTTACTGCAGTGTTAGAGAAAATACTGTTGTGTTGTTAGTTGTTACCTGTAATGAGAAAAGTCACCCTGACATGTATTATTCAACTGCACTGTGATAGTTCAATCATTGTCTGAGCTGACGTCTCCACTTCGTCTTTTGTAGAAACAAGCAGCCCTGTGTTCAGCGGTACAGAGGCACGATACAAACAGACATGCCTTCTTTACAATGTTTTAATCAGATTTTTGTAAATATGATGCTTCATGAAAATGATTAGAACAAGTCAGAAATGAATAAAACATTTGTTCATTTATTTCATGTCAAACACTACATTATATCATACATGTATCACACTGTACAGCTACATTTAGTCCTTTAGAGAAGAGAAGACAAACAAATCTGTAGGAGTGTTGCTCCAGTCGGACTGTACTGACTACTGGAATATATTTGCTCCGGAAAATGGACAAACTTTTTTTTTTCTAATGCTAATTCTCTACAACAGAATACTCAGACATCAGATGCATTTCCTCATTGATCAGAAACCGTTCTCAATTTTCTTGAAATAATTAAAGTGATATGAAAAAAAAGTAATTCTTATTTAATCAACTGTTAGGAAGACATGTAAAGTAATTAGTCGATGTTGTGGTGTCTAAGCAACAGTGTCCACCCCTCACCTGCTCAGTCGTAAGCTTCAAAATGATCAGTTCATATTATTTTTTTACTGTTATAACAGTATTTCTACTTATAACCCTTGAAACACCAACATGGTTTGTTGAAGTAAAAAAAGGCAGCAGCAGTTTTTGATCCCTTGTCACCTAGACAGGGAGATAAATTGACTATTTAAGAATGAAATTAAAACCTACGTTAATACCTATTTGTATGGCTTAATTGGCATTACAGTGATTATCAGGTTAATGCAATTAAAAATACAGACTTTGTATGAAAAAAAAGGGTCAGCTTGTAACATCTGTGTCAGCTCTGAGTGATTTCATAGAAATGAATTTAAAATCCTGTGTGACAATCATTTGGAAGCTTCCAACAACATCCTGACAGCAGCATCAGTTCATCAGTTTAAGGCCCTGGGAGTGAGTAACTGTGTTCATTCATGAAAAACCTCTTGTAGAGTTTTTGAGTGCGTTCCATTATTTGTACATGGTGTTAAAGGCTCGTCCAATAATGAGCCGGCGAACTTCACTTGTGCCTGCGCCGATCTCGTACAGCTTTGCATCGCGCAGGAATCTCCCCATGGGGTAGTCGTTGATGTAGCCGTTCCCACCTGTCGACAAGTGACACATGAATTAAAGTTAGTGAGCAGCAACGGAGCGGGTTGATATTACAGCGCACATAATAAAATAACACTCTAAATGAGTCCCTGTGCTCGTAATATCTTACTATAGTTGCTACAGATAAAACCTGTGTTGCATGGCTTAATAACTGTGTGCATTTCACACTTCAAGTATAATTAACAAAACTTTTCTACATATTTTTACTCAACAAAATCGTTCTTTTAAACTACAGTAATGCAATAAAGCCAGGCAACTACAATTTGAACTTCAGAAATGAAATGATTTTTTGTCTAAAATACCATAAAATGAAAGGCCTTTACCGTGAAAAACAAGTTTAGAAAGTGTGAAGGAGACTCATTAACGCTTGGCATCAAATGAAAATTGCAACAAGAAGTATCACATGAGGAAAGAGGCACATTCTTTCTAAGCATGCAAATGAAACCAAACACTGCATGGGACGTGCCTAAAAGAGAAGTTCATCACAAACACTATCAGTTCTGCTCCTTTCTCTTCTAAAGCTTAACTCAGCACATCCCCATGGCTTCTATCCATCCAATAAACAGAAATTTCCCACTTTTAATTCCTAGAAGTTAAACATTTAAGAGGTAACTCCGACCCTGATCACACTTTGCAGTCAAGGAAGCGTCCTCTCTCTTATCTTCCCTGCAGCCATTCTCTAGTCAGCGTGATATTTATTAACCAAAGTAGCTGCACCTGTAGCGCCTGCTTCCTGCTGCTCTGATGTTAACAACAAGCAACAGGACTCCATCAGGAACCAGAGGGAAGACTGCAAACCTCTCTTTCTGACTGAAATACGTTCTTTCCCTCAGTACTGTTTTACATTTTGTTTTAAAAAGGTTTGGTTTTCATTTGAGCCTTGGCACTTACCCAAACACTGAATGCCGTCCAAAGCGACCTGAGTGGCGTTCTCTGCACAATACAGGATCACTCCAGCACAATCCTGCAACAACAACACCTGTCAACATCTGTGCAGTGGTGGGGGAATCTACTGTTACAGGACAGCGTAGGAAAAATGAAATGCTGACTGAGTAACAAAATATCCAACATCTTTCTTCTTCATAGGATCACACCAGTGAGAGGAATTCGTAAACTTCCTACATTATAATGACATTAGATTTTAAATGTCATTGATAAGATCTTTTTTACAAAAATACTTTTTTGAATTTTTCCAGGTCCATCTTAAAAGGACAGAACAAGAAACCATTGGTCGATGCGATTGATATATTTTTATTACAGTGTTCTTAATATAGTTTGCTATCGTTTTCTTTTTTATTACTTTGATGTATGCACCACGGCACCTAGTCAAATTCCTCGTACGTGTGAACCTACCTGGCAATAAACCAGTTTCTGATTCTGATTGCTCTTATATCCCATAATTGAAGTCGTTTTAAAATTGTGCCAGTTTTTAATGTTTTATAATAGTTTCTTTTATTTGCATATTGACTGGTTAATGTGCCATTTCATTTGTGTTTTACGACAGCTGTATTCGTCTGCCTGTATTGTTTTGTGTTCATTTGTTGTAACTTTGTTCACGCTGCCCTCTTGGCCAGGTCGCTCGTGAAAAAGAGATTTTAATCTCAATGAGATTTTTACCTGGTTAAATAAAGGATATAAATTAGGGCTGTCAAACGATTACAATTTTTAATCAGATTAATCACAGCTTAAAAATTAATTAATCATGATTAATCACCATTCGAACTATGTCCAAAATATGCCATTTCTTTATGTATATTGTTGTGGGAATGGAAAGATAAATGAAAGAAGGCGGATATATCCATTTAACATACAGTATGTATGTTTATTATAACATTTTTATGTGTGTCAAAATGAAAGACAGCCCACACACCTATCAATCATCAAACCATGGGGTCTTATTTCATTACGTGTTGATTTCTATCAACGGGGGAGTACTTCAGGAAAGTCGACG